ATATATACACATACTGCTGAAAGTGCCCTTATAAGTAAACATTCACAGCAAACTGAATTGAGTGGTGCAGGAAGAAGAATCAGTCAGGAACCTGTGGCCCAGTAAACCAAATTGTTTCTATTCACCAACCATTTCTCAAAGATACTATGGCTAGGTGACCTAGTAGGAAGGGGTAAATAATAAGGTCACATGGATGGGTCTATCTAAAATATTAATGTAATTTCCACTGTGTCTGCCTCTTTCTTTGTCTTGCCAAAGGTATATAAGCTCTGGTTCTGCTTTTGCTCATGGCCGCTCAGCAAAGTATCAAAGTATTTGCTGGGGGTCCAGTATGTATACTGTATTATTGCTTGTGTGCATGCACATAAAAGTATGTTGTATCTTCAAAGTGATCTGGTTGCTTTAGGTGAGCCATCTTGGGATTCTGTCTACATATATCATAGAAGGTGGTCCATCCATTTAGTTTCTCAATATTTATGCTCTCTCCACCTTCTAAAGACTAAGCTGGTATATCTTCTCTATAATAGCACTAAAGTCAAATGTTCTGCAGCTGTTTATATATTGGGGACCACCTGGTCCTTGAGATGATGGAGTTGATGATGATGATGACAACGATGATTAGATTTGTTATAGCTGCCCCACCCCAAAGACTCTTTTCCTTTTATGCAGGGATTAAATGAGGGAAATTTGCTTAATTCATTTGAGGCTTTTAGCCCATGGTGAATTATATAGCTTTGAAAAATAGTCATCAGCATGTAATTCCTTTTTTTCTGCTCTATTGACGTCTAGCTTGCATATCTGTCCCTATCATTTCATTAACAGGTGCATCGTGGAATTAAAGGCATAGTCAGGGATCAACATGGGAAGGGAATTCCAAATGCCATTATTTCCATAGAAGGTGTTAACCATGATGTCCGCACAGGTAAATACACATTTATGTATCAAAAGAAAATGAAAAAAGAGAACCAAAACAGCCAACACTGATTTACACAGACCATAGTTTTATTAAGGGAGCATTGTGGACCAGGATGGACCCACAGTATAACAGGTAGTAACACCTATTTTTGAACATCAAGCTAGTTGCATTGCCAACTCATGCACAAACCTGTCTAGTTGCTCTGTCCTTGCCAGCCCAGCAAGGTAGACCAACAAAGTAGACCAGACTAAGAAACCAATGCCATATAAGTCAGGACAACTTTTATTATAACAGCTATAGTAACAGAATCTTGAAAGTCTGAATGTGCTTTCCCCTCCCTCACTTTATCTTCATGTGAACTAGGGAGGGGCTTGTCAGAGACATTTTCTCATTTTTTTTCCATGGCCCAGGCTCAAACCCCTCTTATCTAACCATTGCCTTGGTGGTGGCTGTTCCTCCTGTCTTCAAGGCCATTCCCTATTCCCTCTACCATAAGCAAAAGGATAAAATATAATTGGCTAATATGCTAAGTAATTTATTTTATAGTCCATGATATTGTACTCAAGTGAATGGAATCTGGTAAACAAGCATAGTGGTGCATCTGGGAAAATTAGTCACTGGATCTATTTGTGTCTGATCTCCTGAGGAACAATATCTCCTTATGGAAATTCATTATGCAAGTAGTATTAAAAATCACAGAGAATTACATGTTTAAAACCCCTTCACAATACTGCTTCTTTTTATATAGCAAAGTTCACAATAGGCAAATATTGCATATACAATCTATTTTTAATCTCACTGCCAGAATAATCCAATCTTTAGAAAAAACATGTGTATATAAGTGTCCATGTGTATTGTTATCACATACAAGTTAAGGTTCCATAGTACCCAGATCCAAGTTAGACATTAGAGGAGTTTAATTTTATGGCTGTTGAATTTTATTGAAATCAGTGGACTTAAAATCTAGCACTCTACATTTTCTGGCTTTATAGATTAGACTGATACTTAGTCTTCTAGGAAAATCAATGAAACACGTTCCTTTCCCACCCACCTCACTTCACAACTGTGTGGCACCTTACGTTTGTCAAACTGAATGACAGTCACTAAAAATTACAGAAGAAATTTTCATTAACAGTGATATAACCAATTTCAGTAATAGTAAAGATGGATTTATGCATGGGTGTCACTGGGTTTATTCTCTGTGCTATGGAGTGTGGTATAGACTTTAAATCTCTGCATGACAATAATTACCATAAAGATAGAAGATGTCCAGCTGTGTACATGCAAATTCCCTTAAAAAGCAACTAATAAAACATGCACATCAGTTTTTTCAGAAATAAATGGAAATGGATTTGCCATCTGAGGTCTTGTATATATTGTTTGTATCATGGGCCAATCATACTTATTAGGAACAACCCACAAGCTAGTCGCCCACATGAAAATTGCTTATGTATGCACCATGTAAAATTGGTTATGTTCGGATGCAGTTTCCAAAAGATTAAGTGTCTCAGTCTATATCAGCAAAGAACATCTTGTGACATCTGAAAACTTAGTGGTCCACCTAATTACCATGGTCCCTCAACTGTCTTTTTTCAGGGAACAGAACTGAGAAAGACCCCCAACTACATCCAGTCTCATTTTCTCTCCCACACATACAGTTTGCACATGAGTTGTCAGGTTAGTTTAAAGCTTCTGGTGTTGGGAAACTAGGGGCAGGAAGTTCACTGCATAACTGATAGCCAGTCACTGCCTCTGAGCCCAGTTACCTCACTGGGTTATTATTGTGAAGATAAAATGAAGGGAGACCCCCTGTAAGCTGTCAGAGAACAGGCAGGATAAATATACAGCAACAAAGAAATAGGAGCATAGCTTGTCCTGTGTAATTGATCTCAAGATCTGGAGGACGGCAATACCAATACTATTTTAGTAGAGAATTATGAATGCATATGAATAAGTGTTTTGTTTTAGTGCCTAAGATATCATCTATGTATAATTGTCACCCTGAAACCTTCCAGTCCAACAGATGCTTCCATTGGCAAAAGGGAAGACAGTCAAATTGTCAAATTCCATTGCTTCTGCCTACAGGCTGAGCCAGTTTTCATTTGGCCCTGGTGTCTTATCTTCCCTTCCCTTGCCTTGCCTTCATGAGCAACAGACAAAAACGAACCAGGCAAATGAGCAGCATGTGTCATTTTGTTAATTGTGCAGGTCATTGATTTAAGATTTTCTAGGCATAGAATTTTGGAACATTTTTTTTAAAAAAAGGGTAATCATAGCTTCCACCTTACTATCTAGATATTGACTTCCTGCCACTGAAATTGAAATATCCCTGGTAGTAAAGGGTAGACAACTGTTTTAACACTTGGAATTTAATTACATATTTCTGTTCAGGTCAGTCTAGGCTCAGATTAGTTTAGCAAGAAGAGATAGAAGAGAAAATCATCTTATTGCAACATGGAGATCAATTTGGGAGATACTGCTGTGAATATAATACTGTCTGCTTGTTAATATCTGTGAGCCTCAGATCTTTCAAATTGTCATTGTACATTGTCAGATAGATGGATTATTTAAAGGCATCCAAAAATTCCACTGTTCCTTCTGTCCTTAATAGCAATCCTAGAGTGATCATTGAATGTATAAGAAAAAAGTAAGCCTTTAGATATTAAAAAAATAAGATGGAGCTTCAGGCAAATGTATTTTAATATTTATTCTTCTTTCATTCTTCAACAGCAAACAATGGAGATTATTGGCGGCTTCTAAATCCAGGAGAATATGTGGTTAGCGTAAAAGCAGAGGGCTATACCACTTCCACCAAAAATTGTGCTGTAGGATATGACATGGGTGCAACCCAATGTGACCTCACCATCAGTAAAACCAACTTGGCCAGAATCAAAGAGATCATGGAAAAATTTGGAAAGCAGCCGATCAGCCTGTCACTTCGACGGCTCAGACAGCGAGCAAGGCAGAGACGCCAGCAGTATAGACTTCTTTCTGCAATGT